TGTCTAGAAAGATGGCATCCTGATCACTATCTCCAAAATTGCTCTCCACAAGTGATCAGTGGATACAAACAGGTTGTCGATCCAAATGCATATATAATGTGCATACATGGAACAAGCGATGACAGGACTCGATAAATGAACGCTGAGAAGGAAAATGAAAGGGCAGTCACTTACATCATTTCGAGAAGCAATATCTCCCTTCAGTGAAAACCACAAGGCTACTAACTCACTCGCCGATATCAACTGAAGTAAAGAGTTGAATAAACTTATTTTAAGTAAGGGAATATTAGCTTCATTCCTTTACAGCGATAATATTCATCTTCTGTGTGCCGAGTCCTTTCAAACATGGGTGATCATGGCTCTCCACAACTTCCTATTACTTGTGGCCCTTAAGGGTTTTTGTACTTGTGTTAAGTCTCCTGTCACTCCTTCCACTATCGATTCATACAAGATCGCCAGGTCACTGCATTCCCCTCTCTCTCTCTTACCCCAAATTTACCCAGTGAGGGTTAAACTTTTCAAACTCTCCTTCCTCCTTATGCGTCCAAGAAACATCAGCTGTCTCTTCCTGATTTTGAGCATGTGTTCTTTTTTTGCCATTTTAAGTTAAGGTTCTGCTGTGAACCTAGAAAGGGTTACTGAATGAGGAATAACCAAAACGGATGTTGGAAATGAAATGGTAATCTTTATAACATCATCAAAATACAATACTCGCCAACGACGGGAAGTAGGTAAACCACTGCTAGTGATGGACTTTTTAGATAGCATATTACCCCCCCCACACACACTTATAATAGTGTCCAACGTATTTATGGGAATTGGGCTAAACATAATTAGTGTTCATAGGTACGGTATATCACAGGTCCGCTGTCAGTTCTAATGGGCTGCTTTTACTGGATATCACGTGACAGCAAGGCTTCAGTATTTATCCTGATCTTGATAATGATCATGACGTAATATGATTTAATTCTCAAGGATGAATCTTCCACGCTCATATGACATAACATTTTAAATTTCTAACAACGTTCTCCAAATAGTTTTCCCGCCTTCCGCTTCTTTTTCATATTATATCATACCTATATCTAGAATCTACGTGGATAGCTCCGAATAACAATACTTACTATTTTTCTTATTGCTTACTCGACCCGTCCATGGAATTTTAAGGAGATTGTTATATTAATATCAGGATTTTTGTACATGCTTTCATACATTTAGTAAGAAAAAAATCTGTTTATAATCTAATAGTATTAGCGCTACTTAGGAAGAAAAGTAAACATAGCCTGTATTCATCATCATCACCTTTAGTCAGATCTTCAAGGCTGTTCTCCCCCGTGTTCAACTTAGTATGTCTTCAAGTCTGCAACTTGAGCCGCCACATAATTGCTAGAATTATTGTTTTGAATTGTTTACTAACAATAGTTGGTCAATGTTTAGGATTCCACAAAGAACGTCACTGATAGGATAATTCATACTTTTCCAGGAATGCTTAGCAAACCTTGAACAATGACTTGTGATACGGGATGATAGATGCGCATATAGCTGTTTTTCAACTGACTTTGGTGCATGATGATTTTGCAAAAGCTATGATACTCATCCATCCATGAAAACGACTCCAACAAATATGTTGCATTAGTTCATTGTGTAATTCTGAAAATTTACCGATATCATTCTCTCGTTCAGCCTCTGAAGAGGTTACGCCTTGATCCGTTCTTCCGTTACATTTCACATCCACCACATTGCAATCTAGTGCCTTCGTCCTGGTCGGGGCGGCTTCCGAGTGCCAGTCCATTCTCTAATCTGACAGGAACTTCTAATAGGAGGGACAGGGTAACTTCAACATCGCCGGTGCAAAAGCAACCGGCAAATCATTGCACTATTTTGCCTTAAATGAGGCATCAGGCTAAACGGAGTTGAATATTAGGGCAGTTGGCCAGTTATGTTGTGCATTATTCTGTAAGCGAATCAAAATTGAAAATAACCACAACAGATGGGAACATTTTAAGGGCTAAACATAATACATTTTCAAATGATCTGTTAGTGTTGCTATGAAGCTAGTCTTCTACAGCCGTTTCTTCCAGTTTATTCTAAAAGTATCATTTGTGCCTTGGCTCGCAGTGGTAGCAACCGTTAGGGTCCCAGTTATGGGAAAATAGTTAATCCCCACACTGGGATCAAAACACTGTGGTTAAGACTTCAAAAATGCTGAGAGGACCTTCGTTAAATTTTCTGAGAAAAAGTGCTTTATCTGGCATGATCTACAGTCTGAAGAAAGCCAATACGTTCAAACCCCTCCGTCACGATGACTTGCAACTTAGTGCTCGCACATACATCGATGGATGCCAAACATTTCCATTTATCCAATTACACTCACAATTATTGGATCAACCCGTGGTATGATTTTCAGAAATTTTCCGGGTCGATAAAGACACGAAGTCACTTTCCTGTCACAATCAGATTCGAACCCAGGACTTATGGTCGGAAATCGAACGTTCTAGCCACTCGGTCACGCGCCTATACTGAGTAAATAAGTGACTAAAGAATTAAAAATTATAATATGATTCTTTGATAAAGCATTTCTACAGCGCCATGTGTTTGTCTTTCTAAATTCGACATTAATTCATTCAGTAAAAATGACATTAACACAATCTTCCCTATTGCGATTCAGTCAAATAAAGGACTCATGTCTCAATGGCCATATGCAATGAATAATCGATGGTTACAAGCAAGCATCAGAAAAGAACATTTCTTAATTATAGTTTTACATAAAACAGGATGGCTTAACTATATTAGATTCAGAGTTTGTCTATATTTCTGAGATGAGGTATTATTTACAGTGGATAAAGACGTTGGTTAGATCCAGTGACAGACCCAAAGAAGGTGAGTTCAATACCTGGTTAAGGCAGTGGAGAACTTTCAGAGGGAAAATTAGCAGGAGATAACTGATAACTGACATCCATCAAACATGGCACGTGGAATTAGAACAGTCTACCCCAGTGATCGAAATAAAGGGTTCAGTTCGAAATTCCAACCACCTGAAGAAGGCCGGAGCGTACAACGGCCGAAACGTTGTGACAAATATGGCGACAAAGATGAGGACAATAGTCCGACGAATGTAAATACTGTATATTAGATTCCTAAGAAAACAATAGCATGAGGTTCGTTTTTCTCACAAATTAGGATAAAAAAAAAATGACCGAGAAAAATACATAGGCTTTTGCTAAAATCATACATAATGGTAACCGGATATAAGATGTTTCAGCTATTTTCAGAGAGACGTAGGAATGCTTTTTTGCACTGTAGGACAAAATTTATGTTAATAGAACAGTTCAGAAATGTTCAATCACAGTAACCAACGAAGACAATATCTGAAAAAAAAATATGGCCGACAAAAAAAAAAAAAAAAAATCATAAAAGAAAATACGTCACGTGAATCATAACAGAAACTTGGAATTTTTTTTTTTTAATCTAAAGAAGACACGGTTAATGTCTAGTATAAATGAACGACCATTAAAAATGTTTCTACATCGTCACAAATATAATAAGAGTTCAGACATTGCTACCAGCTCGAAGATATCAAGTTATTTATTAATGTTCTATTAAATTGTCAGCTATACAATAAAAAGGTAACATCTAACCCCGTCGGCAACTTATTTGGAGAAAAGTATTTTTCTGTTTCTATCTTTTTGCGTTATGTTATTTTATTCTATTGAAATAACCTACCTTTATTTGATATTTCCATATAATTAGTTTACGAAAAAGAATCCGAATCTACAAAATTCCATTCCTTTTTGCTTGATCTCTCCTCCACCAGCAAGTGAATAGCTGCTTTCACGTCGAATTGTCGTTTTTCATGTTCCTTTATACTTACTTATATTAGTTACATTACTCGGACCGTTATCCTCATCTTCCTTGCCATATTCACAACGTTTAGGCCGTTGTACGTTCCGGCCTTCTACAGATGATTGGAATTTCGAATCGAACCCTTTATTTCGTCTTTCCAATTTTCTCCACTGCCTTAACCGGGTATTGAACTCACACTTTTTGGGTCCTTTCACTGGATCTAACCAACGCATTTATCCCAGAAATTCATACACAGATGTCATCAAGGACACATGTCACAGTGGATAGGGAATTAACATGAGATAACTGATAACTGACACCCATTTAACATGGCACGTGGAACTAGAACAGTCTACCCCAGTGAGTGAAATAAAGGGTTCAGTTCGACATTCCAACCACCTGAAGAAGGCTGGAGCGTACAACGGCCGAAACGTTGTAATAAATATGTCGACAAAGATGAGGACAATATTCTGAATAATTTAAATAGTATACTGTGTTTTGAATTTTAAAGAAAACTTGATCAACAGAGAAAGGATATTCGTGTATGATGTACTGGGATTAAACAGATTATATGTGAATATATTGGCATCAAATTGAATACATTAAAATATAAACGGTCAGTGATATTGGCGCATGATTATATAACAGGATTTGACATGTATTATTGGTGGATGTAACCTTAACAACACATGCAAAACACCGCTTAGTTCATGGCAGAATAACAAATACTAAAAGAACTATCCAACTATGTGCCATGCGTGATACACTCTTAGGCGATCATGTATTATTCGATACATGACCGCAGATCTTTTTTCCCACAGTAGGTTGCCATTTCTTTCTGCGGTAGTCCAGTTGGCATCCAAAGGTATAGAACCTGGTCCCTCCTGCCATTTACCAATAACTGGTGGTAGAAGAAGAGGATTCATACCTTTCCCAAGGGTATTAGCACGTAAGTGAATGTAATAGATCCGACTGGAATTCGAACTCGGCTCTCCGATTCCTCAATCCGAGCCGCTATCCATTACTCAAAAGAACTATTATCATATTAAAATGCTGTTCGTTTCTTCGTTCATTAATTAGCTCGTACATTACGCTCTGTCGTCGATTGTCTGTGACCTATCCATAGATTCTTGGTATAGCAGCAACAGACAGAGTAAATCCATAACACTTTCAAAAATTCCAGTTAGTCTCATTCTGGGGCGTGTTGAAACTGTGTATATGTGTTTCGAGAAAGAAAGAAAGAAAGAAAGAAAGAAAGAAAGAAAGAAAGAAAGAAAGAAAGGGAAGATAGAGGAAGAGATAATACACTCATACGAGTAACGTCTGATTCAGTGAAAAGCGGTTGATATGCTGGTGGTGCAATGAGAAATCGAAGAGATAACCACGTTACATTTGTTTTCGCGCAAACCCCCTCACCTATAGGTTAAATATTCGTACTTGCATCTGAGAAAATCGTTGTTATCGCCCCAAAATATTCAATCTCAAAAGAAATATTCCAATAACTCAAAATAACGGCTTTAAATAACCTACAAAGGGTTGATAAACCATAAACAAATCAATCAATCAGTTGGTCAGTCAGTGAAATGGTATAGTATTATGAAATATGCCAACTCAAAATGATTATGTTCCTTCATAAAAATTAGCAAAAAACAAAGAATTTTCACGGATCACGTTCTATATTATTAAATGAAACAGATGCCATAAAAACCTATTTAAAAATGTAATATGACAAGGTATGACTTATAGTGTAGGTACTTAATGAATGCTTACAATTTATCTTTCTTAAGATCTAAAGAAATATGTTAAATGTCACCCTATCCACTGTAGAATTTCTATGGGTCGAGCTAATATAACTTGTCAACGAAAGTGAGGAGACTAAGCATTAATTTTAAAAAAAATCAATACCTGTTTTGGGGCTAAACAGGTAGTCCAGATAACGACAAAAGCAGTTAACTAAATTCAGTTATCTGATAAATGGAAAAATTGAAATCTGAAATCGCATAAGAATAAAGAAAATACTTTTTAGAAACTCTGTAAGGTGTTAAAGGTCCATAATATTAAGACATTGTAAAGTTTCGAAAAATAACATTACAGATGTTCGAAAAATAACAGATGATCAAAGTTCGAAAAATAACAGATGATCAATGTTCGAAAAATAACACCTTATAAAGGTTAAAAAATAACAGATGATCAAGGTTCGAAAAATAACACCTTATAAAGGTTAAAAAATAACAGATGACCAAGGTTCGAAAAATAACACCTTATAAAGGTTAAAAAATAACAGATGATCAAGGTTCGAAAAATAACACCTTATAAAGGTTAAAAAATAACAGATGATCAAGGTTCGAAAAATAACACATTATAAAGGTTAAAAAATAACAGATGATCAAGGTTCGAAAAATAACACCTTATAAAGGTTAAAAAATAACAGATGATCAAGGTTCGAAAAATAACACCTTATAAAGGTTAAAAAATAACAGATGATCAAGGTTCGAAAAATAACACATTATAAAGGTTAAAAATAACAGATGATCAAGGTTCGAAAAATAACACATTATAAATTTTCGAAAAATAACATATTACAAGTGTTCGAAAAATAACAGATGATGAAGGTTCGAAAAATAACACATTATAAAAGATGGAAAAATAACATGATCAAGGTTCGAAAAATTACATATCATAAAGATGCGAAAAATAACATGATCAATGTTCGAAAAATAACACATTATAAAGTTCGAAAAATAACACAAATTGTAATGGTTAAAAAACACATTATAAAGATTCGAAAAATAACACATTATAAACGAAGGTAAGTGTGCTGGAATTATTTGCCATGTCTACTCTGTTATACAACAGCGTATCATGGACAATTTCATGACAAGCGAAGCGAACGTGATGTGGTCTTACGAAAACAGTTTTAAGAATATCACAGACATATGAGAAAGCTTTGATAAGAACAAAAACTAAGAAGAGACTTTATGTAACAATCAGAAATATAGAGATGAAATTTAGAAGGAGAGACGATATGTTAATTAATCATGGAGAATTTACCACATCAAGAAGACGTCGAAGGAAACAGAAGCAGGAGAAAGCGGCGAGTAACCCACTTAAAAAGATTAAACAGATAGATGGAGCACAAGAAAGGAACAGATTAGATTGAACTACAACAAGTGAAAAAAATAGTCATAAAGTTGGTAGCTCTCCAGAGAGCAAGAAAAGGGCGAAAAGCTGTGGGTAAACATCTTCACGAACGTCCATAACGGAAACGCCATAGAATGAGTGTGACATCAGCTCTCCCTATTGACCATTCACAAGTTTATTGATGCAATTCCGTTTCGAATGTTGCTAAAAGGCACAGATTCTCAAACTTCTTTGTTCAATTGGAGAGATCACGATGAAGAAGGATATTTCTTAACTGATATCCTCGTGTGCGAGCTGACATAACGAACAATTGCAAATCAACCCGCTGCTATCTAAAAGACGACCACGATACAAATAAATAAAGAATGACTTACAGGTTTTCAGACCAAGCAAACACAATCAACAAAAATATTCGCTTAGATATTTCGTTCATTAAAACTTGGTAATTAATCAGACCTTTGAATTAATCGTTAAACAGCAAATTCTCATTAGAAATTGTGTAATATTTTTGCTCCTATATTTTCTCCTTAGCTAATTACAAATTGGCGTAGTTAATTAAGTCGCGATATAAACATAACACTGCGTATGTTGTTTTTTTTTTAGTCTAGATTAACGTTTCTTATCCTTTGGCCACATTAAAAACAAGAACAAACTATGATAAATTTAAACTTAACTGGAATAATTTTACGGATGAAAATTTAATTAATCACACCAGAGTTAAATTGAATCAAGATTAAAATTAATGAACAGTTATGCTTGTGTTTAAGTCAGTTTGTCACAAGAGACAGAGTGCCAACATTTTGTTGCGCATAATAAATCGATTAAGGGAACAGATTACAAAATAATTACGATATTGACTTTCAGCAGGTAATTATAACATATATATATATATATATATATATATATATATATATATATATATATATATATATATATATATATATATATATATAATTATTTTCTTAAAAATATGCTTCCTTCGCTCCATAAGAATTCTCATGTTTAAAAAAACAAGAACCAAAACTTCAACATAATTGTTATATATATATATATATATATATATATATATATATACTGTTATATATATATATATATATGTGTGTGAAGACATAGATATTACAAATAGGAGGCTGAAAAAAAAGACACTCTTCCAAATGCTCATGTTGATGTCTGATATATATATATATATATATATATATATATATAAAGAGAGAGAGCGAAGGATAGAGAGGAGAGGAAAAAAGAGAAAAGTGGGAGAAATAGTGAATATGGTGATTTACTAAGGGATAATTTTTTCTTTTGCGGTTCATACATGGAGGATATTGAATAGATATCAAAATGACAAACTTCCCAGAATGTATTCAATATATATATATATATATATATATATATATATATATATATATATATATATATATAATACGGAGAGAGCGGAAGAGAGAAAGAGAGTCAACTGTTGGGCTCTCCTGTCGAGTGGATACCGATGTCAACACCAAGTCGTAACAGGCTTGCTAATTTCTACGACCATGAAACGAAATTGTTCTCTAACCATCATCTGATATACCTCTTTTTGCCATCCATTTGCATGGCTAATTCTAACCTCCAGGGGAGTGACTCATTGTTCCTTCTTTGTTAAAAGTGTTCCACTGGCATGAAGTGGAAAGATTATATTGAATCAATTATATATAGGGAAGTTGCTCTACAGTGTCGCGGTAGGTAATCTCTCCAGAATCTCTTACTTATTTATAAATCCACCATTCACCATGGTTTGAAGTTTGCTGCCACATATGGTTTGGTGCACGTGCTATATATTTAGAGATTCTTGATAAAATCCAAAGAAGAATCTGCAATGTTATTGGTCCTGACGTGGCATTTCGGTTTCACTCAATTCCCAACCTCCGTAAATTAGTTTCTTTATGTTATTTCTATAAAGACAATCATTTTAATTGCTTTGATCAACTTTCCTCGATGGTACCTAGATTTTATGAAATCTTGTACAGTACTCGATTGGCAGAAATGTCTCATCATTTTTCCTCATTTTAAAATGGCTTGATGTAACCGTAAGTCCTATTTTAACAGTTTCTTCTCTCGCACTTCTCGCTTGTGCAACACTCTTCCGGTTTTTTGCTTTCCCGTCATCTTTGATTTTCTATAATTTAAATGCAATTTCAATCGTTATCACGTCTTCATAATTCTTGTTTATTGTTCTCTCTCCTTTCGATGGTCCAAAGATTGCGTTGAAGCATGAAACCGTCTGTCGTCGCTTTGTGTTGACTTCAGTGTCCACTTTTATATTAACATACTTTCTATGTCTGATATTGAGAACTTTTACCCATGAATATGGCATATCATAAAACTATATATTTATCCGACACATTCACACACATACATATATATGTTTGAGTATGTGTGTGAATATATATATATATATATATATATATATATATATATATATATATATAAACACATATATATGTGCGTGTGTGTGAACTGGGATCAAATATAGATCAAATATGGATAAGGCAGAAATTGTTTTTCATTAGTTAATCAGATCTCACGTGTATCTCTCCTCTCAAACAGTGTTTGTGATATAACAAATGTGTCTAGATGTAACATATCTAGTTTGTTTAATCGGGATTCTGATGATAATGTGTATTCTTTTGTGTGTCTGTGTATGTACATTTAAGCCTCTAATAGGGATTTTAGTCTATGGTGGCAATCTGTTAATTTGGGCAAATTTTGTGTGAAAGACAACAGAATTTACACGTCACACCGTTTGTGGTTGTAAGCAGACATATCTTAGATTCTTTATGTATAGATTTTATAAATATTTGTGATATAATAAAATTTTTGACGTGTGTTTATAGATTTCAAAATATTTATCAGAACCACCTCTAAATATTTCCGGAGTAATGAATAGTTATATTTTCTAATTATGGTGCCATTTATAAAATCGAATTCATGGCCTGTTTTTTTCTGTGTTTTACGACGTTTTTTAACAGGTTGTCTGAACGGAGGTCTCTCTTAGGTTGATAGATGCGGGCTTTTAGATTTCGAAATATTTCACCAGTGTTGCTCTTCCTATATTGCAGGCTTTTATATCACAAACACTCTTACTTGATGTGGTATAGGATCTATCTTTCTTCCTAACACTATATCTAATTGTATTGGAGGTGGTCATAAAGATTCTAATATTGAGGATAACTATTTTATTTTTCCAATTTTTTGAATGTTGGATAGTAGGATTATGTCATTTGTGATTTTGTTGTTGGCATTGCCTATGTTGTTGTTGGCATTGCCTACGTTTTTAGATTTGCGGATTTTATAGCTTTATAAGTTTTCTAGCGTTGAATATGTGATTAATGAGGAAGTATGAATTTTTCAAGGAATTTTTTTCTTGAATGCCTAGACACCGGCATTATGGAATGAAAAAGTTTGCAATGTACCAAAAGCTACATAGACCAACTAGAATTACGATACACACACACACGAACGCTGACAGGATAGATGTACGTGAGGTCTGTTTAATCTAAGAAAAACAAACACAAAACAAAAAATAGATTCTTTTCTCCTCCGTAATTCATTATCTGATCAAACTTAAAGAAGAACGAAACATTTTAAATTTCTGAACGTTTGCTGTTTCTCCCTTATATACATACATATAATTTTATAAATAAATAAATATATATAAATAGACATGTGTATATAATTTTATTTATTTTTAAATATATATATTCTACTCTGTATAGAGCATTCTCTTAAATTGTTACGGACAGTGGAATCATACACCATTTGTTCGCATTATATATATATATATATATATATATATATATATATATATATATATATATATATAAAGTAATGTAAATGTCCCTGCCACTGTTCACTTTTATATGTACATACGCTCTATCTCATATATTGAGCCCTATATTCCATAAATATAGCACATCTTAAAACTATATTCTTCAAATATATATATATATATATATATATATATATATATGAAGAATTCATATTCTTCATATATATATATAGATAGATAGATAGATATATAGATATTTATAGTTTTAAGATTATATATATATATATATATATATATATATATATATATATATAATATATATATAATATATATATATATATATATATATATATATATATATATATATATATATATATATATATATATGTATGTAAAGAAAATGGTTCTTTATTCATTGATCCAATAGATTTTATGACTTAACCATTATATTTAGTGGATACTCATATATAAGTAGACTCTCCATTTATTTATTAAACGGTGTATTTATCTATTTTTGTGTACTGACCAAAATATTAAAGAAATCTTATTAGAGAAAAATATACACTTCTCTTAAATACGTGTATCCACTAAAAATAACATTTAAGAAATAATTAGTAGGTTACGTTGGTCTAGAAAGATAATTATATTTGCTTTCTCCCCCAGACAGAAGTTTACATTTTTAGAATATGGAGTTGGTGACTGATGGTGTTTTCCTTATTTTCCATATGATTTTGTTTTTGTTTTTAAATCATCCAGACAGTTTATTAAAAATTACAAGAGAAATTAAACTATTTTATAACTCTGGTCTGATGAGGCAGTTGTCTGTATGAAAAAAAAATGATTACAGATATCTTTAATGATGTATTTTCCTTTGATGTATATCATATTGCTCTTTTGATACAATGAGCTCTCTCCATGGATCTATCTTTTTAATATGAGGTATTAAAAAGACCTATTTGGATTATTCTTACCACTTATGGATTTGAAATTATGATATATATAGTAATTATTAGGAGGATTTGATAATTATATTTAATTAATTTATCGAGTCTGATAGAAACCTCAACAGAATGCAGAAAGCACTGGACGGCCGTTTCGTCCTATATTTGGGACTCATTGCAAGAGATCGCCTAATAATTACTATCTATGTACATCATTGCTTGAACCGGCTTCTAATGCTCTAGAGTGAGCGGCTTGGTGAGAGTAGTCGTGGCTCCA